TAATTCTTAAATACTGAAAATCCATGTTCCCTTCAGAAGCACATTCAAATCACTTGAAGAACTTTGTGATTAAAATGCTATAGTAGCAAATGTCCCTGTATTCTGAGGTTTTAAGATCTGCTTTTAAGGGTGAATGCTATAAATTATCCAAGTTATCTCATAACATTATTCCTTCTTGTGCACTTGTTCATTTAGTCCTCACCAAAAAAAAAAAAAAAAAAAAAAACTATATAAAGAAAATGTTATTAATATCCTGACTTTTTACCAAATGGGAAACTGTTACTTGCCCAACACCCCATGGCCCAAGTTCTTAACCATTATACTATATTGCTTTTTTTATAAAAGGGAAGTTAAAAAAATCTGCACTGATACATAGGAACTGACCTTTAAACTTTGAAATCAGTCACCTCTGATCCTGAGCAGTTTCCATAAGCCAAGCTGCTAAGCATCCCCCCCTTTTAGCGAGAAGCCTTTGGGAGGTTATCTGCCAGTTTCCTAATTGTTTTTCTAATAGAATACTGATAACCTTGTCTCTTCAGTTTCCATCTACCAGTCTGCCCCGCTAGACACTTAGGGAGCAACTGGCCGTGTGAGAGGTGTGATTGTTGTTCTACGGAACAAAGCTAAGGGACAGTGTTGTATAGGCAAATCTAGCCATAGCCTTGAACCCCAGAGAGGAAAGTACTATTGAACTCTAAGAGATGCAAGGTAAACTGAAGATCTCTTTGGAGCCAGTGTGCTGTATCAGCACAGTATCTCCGAGTGAGAAGGAAAGACTTGAAGCAAAACCAATAATGACTGGCTTTTCCAGATAAATACATTTTCACCCAAACATGTGAACCGCTTGCCAAGTGCAAGGAGCAATGCTGTTTTGTATATCTGCATGAAGAATTTGCATCATCATTGAAGAACTAATTGGAAAAGGGCAAGGGAATCGAAAAATATCTAAAATAAGCTACACAATTCAGCCCATTTACATTCGAAATGTAGAGTCAATCCAAAAAAAAAAAAATGAATGTTTCATTTGATGATCACATTTGTCATTTATTCAAAATGAGCCTGTTCTGAGAGAAGATTAAATAAATAAATAAAAATATCGAAAACTGTCATTCTTGAAACCTTTTGGGTAGAACACTGAGTTGCATTTCTACAGGAGAAATGCCAAATGAGTGTGCCTAGGCCAAGTTTGTTTGAAAAGCCTTATTTGGAGAACCATGGGAGTGTGGACTTGGTCACGTGAAAAGCTAGGACTGTTCAGCCTTCTGTGGCTGTTCTATGAGTTCCAGTACCAGGCTATTAATAGGGAGCCAAGCACAAATATGCTGCTGCTTTCTTTTTTTTTTTTTTCTTTAACTACATAGATCATATTTACAAAGGATTCTTTCTTCAGCAGAAGGTTATCAGGTGAGGGGGTGATTGGTTGCCATTTTGTACCCTCTTATTTCACACTTAAATCCATTCCTAATGTTAGCATTCCCTATTCAGAAATAAAAGTCTATTTTTCTATATAAAGTGATAAGCAATTACAAAGTCAAAAAGAAATCCTAGAAATTAAAACAAACTTACCCACTAGTCTTTTGGAACATAATTACCCCAACATATTTGCTCAATGATAGGGAGTTCATAGAATTTTTGATTGTCAGAGATGATGTGTAGCTGATGCTTCTAAGAGCTGTCTTGCTCATTCACAAGAAATTAAAATAGGATTTTAAAACATTTCAAACCTCTAATTTGAGGTATAGAGGATAATTCTCTGTCAACATTGAAAAGTAATTTATCATTGCTTTTGACAAAATAACTGTGAACATTTTAATGTGATACATTTTCATATCCATTGTCTCCTTTGCTCCTCGAAAAAGAATGTGTTGAGATGGACAGAGAATGAATGAACATCCTCTTTTATAGAGGATGACACAATTCTAGAGAAGTCACTTCCCCAGTCTGGCACACTATATAAGTCATAGCACTCTTGTCCTTTGTCTATAAAATCCATTGCATGAAACATTTGGAACTAAAAGAAATCTCAGTTCTCAACTTTTCTGTTTACAGAATGCCCTTGCAGTTGCTTAACATTTAGATTGAAAAATAGGAAATTCATTGAACAGGACATTCAATAAAAGACATAGATTAATATCTAATGATATCTAGGTGTTCTTTAGTATTCCATCTAAGTGGAGTCTGCAGATGGTGACTCTATAGATAAGGTTGCACAGATCTCAGAAAACTAATAAACATTTTGATTCAGTAATACAATTCTATTAACCAGTTAGCAGTTACTCTAATATAAATGACTGTTCAGTATAGAAAGTGTTTGAAAGGAAATATGTATAAAAGTAAAGAACTCTGACAAAATGGCATTCACTTTAGCTACTAAAATTAATACACACAACATGTTTTGTGTGTGTGTTGAGATATGTTCAGATTTTGTATAACCTAAGGCTTTGAAACATAACTTTGGTGAGACCTCTTTAAAAAGTACAAAATTAAGACCAGAAAATTACTTCATTGGTTTGCTAGGGACTGCCATAGCAAAGAACCACATACTGGACAGCTTTTATTTTCTCATCTTTCTGGAACTAGAATTCTGAGATCAAGATGTTGGCAGTGCTGAGTTCTTTTGAAGCCTCTCTCCTAGACTTTATGTGTGTGTTGGTTGTCTTTTTCCTGTGACTTCATGTGGTCTTTCCTCTCTCTGTCTGTGTTTGATGTCTTCTTCTTATGAGGGCAGTCATTTTGGATTTGACCCAAACTAATCATCCCAATTTAACTTAATTATATCTGAAGGCTCTGCATACAGTCAATCATTCATTCTTGGTTAGCACTTCCAGTTGAGGAAGAACATAAATCAACTCATAAAAATTATATAAGAAAATTGATTATTTCAAATGAGAAAATCATATGCAACACATTTTAGATTGCTAAAAGTCTAAAAGGGCATGAAATCAAGAAAAAGGTAACATTTTAATCAAATTTATTTAAATGCCTAATGAGTTTTTTT